AGGGAGATAGATAACATCTAGTGATGGAGAGAGAATCCATTGGTCCAGCTTGCCTTCCTGCACCGCCCCCTACCTGGGGAATCAAGCCCGCAACCCAGGGCATATTGCCCTTGACTGGTGATTCGAACCCAGGTCTTTCAGTGCAACAGGCCGACGCTCTATCCACTGAGCCAACCCAGCGAGGGCTCTTTTTTCCCCTTTAAAATAAGGTGTGCTGAGCACCTGTTTTTATTCCAGGCATGGTGACAGGTTGTGAGTACAAACAGGATCCCTGCCTTGCTGAGCTTCCAGGCTGGTGGGAGAGGCAGGCATTAGTCAAATAGCCAGCAAACTAACCTACACGTGCAACTGTGACCGTGATGCTGAGAACCTGGCATTTTAGAGGGTTGGCCTGGTCAGGAGGTCTGCGAGGCGGCCTTTGAAGAAGTAATGCCAGGGAGGAGAGCCAAAGCAGGAGGGAGAGCCGATTGTGCCAATTCTAGTCGCACAGAAATCCAGTAGAGCAGGTGGGATGCCTTCAGTCTAGGGGTGAGGACATGGAGATCTCAGCAAGGTGATAGGTCCTGGCCCAAGGTCACTTCAGATTAAGCCAAGAATAGGGCCTTTTATGTAGTCCTTGGCCCATTTGGTGGTTTTAAGAGAAGCAAGTGTCACAAGTAGCCCAGGGACTTTGGAGACCAGGGGTCACAAACTGAAAAGCCCGGGGCTCAGGCAGATAACAAATTGAGTGAAGTAGGTAAAGGGTAAAACAATAGGGGGTGGTGGGGACTGGGGCAGACTGGAGGCCACACTTCCTGTGTAAATGAAACAGCCAGGCAAAGTTATCGCATTTTTAAGTAATCGGCAAGTACATTTATCCCTTCCGCTAGAATGTTGCTCAATGTTGCAGGTTTTTTTTCCTTTTCACCATATATTCCAGGTGCTCAGAGCAGTGCCTCACACATAGTTGGCATTCAACCCCCCAACCTCATCTTCTGTCCATAGCGTCTGAACAGTTCTTCCTGTGTGTGCAGTTTCACAGGTTTTGAAGCACTTTTACTTTCATTTTTAAATTTTATCCACAAGCTTCCGACAGCTCCTTATTTGCTTCTGACACGGCTGCTGCATGAAAAGATTTTAACCGTCTCCCCACCCCGAAGTATTTACGTGCCTTCCTTTTGCACTTCTCCACGCTCTTATTTCAGCTCCTCTCCGTCCTGATATGCTTGGCATCACATCTTGGTTCCCTCTGCTTATCTAGCCCATTTTATATTTAGTTTTTTGTTGTTGTTGTTGTTGTTGTTCTTGCCTGGAACTTTAGGTATTGACCTTGGATCCATCATCACAAACGAGGCACCCCCTCCTTACACTCAGCCTCAGCTCTGCCACTCCAGGCTACCCTCGGCTTCTTTTTGTCAGGGAGGTACATGAAAGGTTTTGTTTCCTAGAAACTTCTCTCCTAAGACATCTTGCTCCAGAGAAAGTGATCACGCCTAGACATCTGCACTTCCTGTTCATCACGTGGACTTGAGCAAGACAAACCCTCAGATCTTCACAGGACAATTGTAACCTTGCCTCTTTAGGCCTGCTCTTGGAGCAGAGGTAGTAGAGCCTGCTCTTCATTC